TTCCCCGGGACCCGCTCTCCATCCCCCGAGTCGGCTCCGTGGCCGGTCCCGGGGCCCAGCAGGAGGCCCCGAGGCCCCGGATTGCCAGAGCCTTCCGCCGCTGTTTCTACACGGCTCAAGGATGCCAGGTGAGGAGGAGGAGGGAGGACCAGTGTAAACCCAAGAGTCAACAGCGATGTTGGCATAAACCCTCCCTACAAGCTTCCTCTTCATACGCCCCTACAACGACTCGTTTCCATTGAAGGAGCCGCCTCATTGGAAGACAACCATTTGAAGACCCTGAAGCATGCAAAAACATTGTTCTCGGGATTCCAACGCCACGGATCAACCTGACTGTTGCGTGTTGACAATCCTGCATCGCTCCAGAACGCCATTCCTGGGACTTCAACACAACGAATCAACAGAACTGTTGCATCCACACAATCATGAATCCTTTCAAAACTCCATTTTAGGCACGTTGATGATGGGAATCAGTGCAACTCTTTGCAAAAGTTTACAGCTGATGTGCGCCACGCTAAGACGAGAACCACATTTGAGAAAGAACCACCCTCAATCCGTGAAACGATTGGAAATGTCTAAAACGAATGTGCGCCGCGCTAAGGCGAGAGCCACATTTTGAAAACCACCCGCCTTCAACCCGTGAAATTCTTGCAACTTGTGTAATACGAATGTGCGCCGCGCTAACGCGAGAGCCACATTTTGAAAACCACTCGCCCTCAATCCGTGAAACTCTTGCAATTTGTTAGCGCGCCGCGCTAAAGCGAGAGCCACATTTTGAAAACGACCAGCCCTCAATCCGTGAAAACTCTTACAAATGTTGAAAACGAATGTGCGCCGCGCTACGACGAGAGCCAAATCTTGAAAACGACCAGCCCTCCATCTGTGAAACTGTTGCCAATGTTTAAGCTTCAGAATCATAAATGATGAGGAAGTCTCAGGCGAAACGCCCGGCCCGCCCTAAAAACTAACCTCGAGGTGCGACAGGGAGAAATCAAGTACAAGAAGGAATGGAGGAGGAGGAGGAGGAGCAAGAAGAGGAGGAGGAGGGAGGAGGAGGAGGAGGAGGAGGAGGAGGAGGAGGAGAGGAGAGAGGAGGAGGAGGAGGAGGAGGGAGGAGGAGGAGGAGGAGGAGGAGGACAGCCACGATCTTGGTAAAAACAGTGTCAGTTGTCGGGGCGGCGAGGGGGGCAAGGAGCTGGAATACGACTGCCGCGAAGCTGCCGAGGCGACAACGGCACGTCGTGCCGACTCTGAGTTTTGGGGGGGCGGGGGAGTGTCCACTCGAGGAGGAGGGAGGAGGGAGGAGGGAGGAGGGAGGAGGGAGGAGGGAGGAGGGAGGAGGGAGGAGGGAGGAGAGGAGGAGGAGGAGGAGGAGGAGGGGAGGAGGAGGAGGAGGAGGAGGAGGAGGAGGAGGAGGTTTTGTTTCCTTCCACCGTATCGTGGTCCTCCTCGAAGCCAGGCCCTGGGCCACAGAGAGCGTCTGGCTCTCGAGCCATACCTCGGACCTCTGGCCGCCGATTCAGACGATTCGGGCCCCCCACGGAACGCTCTTGGCGAGGCGTAGTTGCTGGAGGCATCCCGAGGAGACCTCCCAGAACCGGCGAAAACGGCGTCAAACCCACGACGAGGAACCGAGCAGGGTGCGTCCTGGGGTGCGTTCCGACCAGAATTTCGAGGCGGATCCAGCCGTGGCAACGAGGGCGTTCAAGAAGGCCAAGATTTAACGAGAAACGTCTAGGCACCTCGAACTTCGAACCTCGAAGTCGGAAATGTCAGGGTCCTCGAATCGAGGCAGGAGAAAAAAGAGGAAACGGGGACCATGACCAAGACTGAACGCAAGAACGTCAATGCCGATCTTGATCATGGTCCATCCTGAGCATCGTTCGCGGATCGTCCTCGCGAACCGGCAACGGCCAGCATGGACCATGACCAAGATCGGCATCAACAAGATCCTGTGATATCGTGGTCATGGTCATCGTGCTTCTTGGAAGCGGCAGGGGGCTTGCGCCAGAGGGACCTCGAAAAACTCAGTCAAGAGAAGGGGACGCGAGCAAATCCGCTCAAGATCCGCCCCCGGACCCCTCCTCGTGTCGAACCTGACGAGCTTCCTCGAGATCCGACGCTGCGAAAAAGTTTCAGCATCGCAAGAATCACGACCGGGGCCCTGGAGCCCATCTTGCTGCATCACATTTCGATGCCAGATCGATATGTGAGGGCCTCGGGGCCCAAAGCAGGGCGAAGACGCCCCTCCGCTGTGAACAGATTGCCTCGACAGGATCTCAGGCTTGTCGAGGCGAGAAGGTCCCCGTATAGCCTGTCCCTGCTCGCTGGAGCCAGTGCTGCCCACCCCGCCCCAATCCACCTCCTCCTCCTCCCCGTCGTCCTCCTCCCTCCTCCTCCTCCTCCTCCTCCTCCTCCTCCTCCTCCTCCTCCTCCTCCTCCTCCTCCTCCTCCTCCTCCTCCTCCTCCTCCTCCTCCTCCTCTCCTCCTCCTCCTCCTCCTCCATCCTCCTCCTCGTTCTCGCTCATCCTGGCTCCTCCTCGCTCCTCCTCGCTCCTCCTCCTTCTCCTCCTCCCTCCTCCTCCTCCCCCTCCTCCTCCTCTCCTCCTCTCCTCCACCTCCTCTCCTCCACCCCTCCTCCTCCTCCTCCGCCTCCTCCTCCTCCTCCTCCTCCTCCCCTCCTCCCTCCTCCCTCCCCCTCTCCCTCCTCACCCCTCCCTCCTCCCTCCTCCCTCCTCCCTCCTCCCTCCTACCCTCCTCCCTCCACCCCTCCCCCTCCTTCCCTCCACCCTCCTCCCTCCTCCCTCCTCCCCTCCTACCTCCTCCCCCTCCCTCCCCCCTCCTCCCCCTCCCTCCTCCTCCTCCCCCCTCCTCCCTCCTCCCTCCACCCTCCTCCCCGTCCCCCTCCTTCCCTCCTCCCCTCCTCCCACCTCCCTCACATCGACTCCGCCTCCGCCTCGCCTCCTCCTCCACCGCTCCTCCTCCTCCTCCTCCTCCTCCTCCTCCTCCTCACCCCCCGTCCGTCCTCCTCCCTCCCACCTCCTCCTCCTCCCCTCCTCCTCCTCCTCCGCCCTCCTCCGCCACCTCCCTCACCTTTCACTCCCTCCTCCCCCTTTCCTCCTCCTCCTACCTCCTCCTCCTCCTCCTCCCTCTCTCCTCCTCCTCCTCGTCCTCCTCCTCCTCCTCCTCCTGCTGCCTGCTCCTGCTCCACCCCTCCTCCTCCTCCTCCTCCTCCTCCTCCCTCCTCCTCCTCCTCCTCCTCCCCTCCTCCTCCTACCCCTACCCTCCTCCTCCTCCTCCTGCCTACCTCCTCCTCCTCCTCCTCCCCGCCTCCTCCGCCTCCTCCTCCTCTCCATCCTCCTCCTCCTCCTCTCCTCCACCTCCTCCACCTCCTCCTCCTCCTCATCCTCCTCCTCCTCCTCCTCCTCCTCCTCCTCCTCCTCCTCCTCCTCCTCCTCCTCCTCCTCCTCCTCCTCCTCCCTCCTACCTCTCCTCCTCCTCCTCCTCCTCTCTCCCTCCTCCTCCTCCTCCTCCTCCTCCTCCTCCTCCCTCCGCCTCCTCCTCCCTTTCCTCCTTCACTCCTCCTCCTCCTCCTCCTCCTCCTCCTCCTCCTCCTCCTCCTGCTCCTCCTCCCTCCTCCACCTCAGACCCCCTCGGGGGGTCCATCGTGAACCGTCGAAGCGGATCCGGCCGCGGCGGCGGGAAGATTCCAGGAGGGGCCACAGCGGACAAAGCACGCCAGGGAGCAGGGAGGGCCGCCGTGGTCCTCCCCTGGCCCTCTCGACTGGTCATCGTGATTTTTTCGCAGCGCGGACCCCCAGAGATAGGTCGGGCATGTCCCCCTACAGGCGGGTTTTGGGCGAAAGATAATAAGTAAACAAAGAGATTCAAAAATAGTCAAAAAGTGTAGAAAAAATCGTCTCCTGACTATTTGTTGTTACCATTTCTGTACATTCGTCCTGTGGAGGGACACGCCCGATTTAACCCCAGAAGTCTGGACCCTTTCCCAGAGACCAGGACCGGCTATTCGCCCCAAGCAGACTTAGGACAGCCCCCCGGGGGGCCCGGCGAAAGGGCCCCGAAGAAGCCAGAAATGGGCAAGAACCTTCCGCCGTGATGTGGCTCCACGACGCACAGGGGTCTGCGCCCCGACTCGATTCTCCAATTGGCGAGCGTTTTCTGATTCGGCGTTTCGACGTTGGGCGGAAGGAGGGGGGGGGGGGCTGGCTCCGGACCTCTGCCTACTGCGACTGTTTGCAACCGTGCGTCCTATGGGGGCAGGCGCCAGAAACACCAAGAACTGCTCCATGGGGTGTGGGAGAGGGGGGTGCGAGGGCCCGCGCCGATCGGCGAAACAATGAATCAGAAAACAACTACTTTCTTGGGGCGCTCCTGGATTTTTGAGGCCTCTGGGAGGCGCTGTCTCGGGCTTGAGAACGCTTCGGAACATGTTTGGGCGCGTTTTCAGGGCCCAAGCTCGGCATGGGGGGAGGAGGAGGAGGAGGAGGGAGGAGGAGGAGAAGGGAGGAGGAAAGGAGAGGAGGAGGGGAGAAGAGGAGGAGAAGGAGGAGGAGGAGGAGGAGGAGGAGGAGGAGGAGGGAGGGAGGAGAGGAGGAGGGAGGAGGAAAAGGAGGAGAGGAGGCGGAGGAGGAGGAGGAGAAGGGAGGAGGAGGAGGAGGAGGAGGAGGAGGGAGGAGGAGAGGAGGAGGAGGGAGGAGAGGAGGAGGAGGAGGGAGGAGGAGGAAGGAGGAGGAGGAGGAGGAGGAGGAGAGAAGGAGGGAGGAGGAGGAGGAGGGGAGGAGAGGAGGAGGAGGGAAGAGAGAGAGGGAGGAGGGGGGGAGGAGAGGAGGGAGGAGGAGAGGGAGGAGGAGGAGAGGAGGAGGAGGAGTAGGGAGGAGGAGGAGGGAGGAGGAGGGGATCTGCGCCCCCGCATGACTCTCCAGTGGCGCTCTCCCCCCGAGGGGGCGGAGGGCCCCCGCGGGCGGGGCGCCCAGCCCCTC